AATTTCCAACCAGCGAAGTATATCACTTATGAAAACTCAACATTATAATACAAAAATGGAAACGTAGTTTTGGGTTCCTTTTGTTGGAGATTATGACTGTAACAGAACGAAATTTGTATGTACTTTGTTTCGCTTCACGTGAGGGAATCCGAATTCTGGAATCTGGGAAATTTTTGCTCGTGGAATCTAGAATCCTGGACTTTGAAATCCTGAATACAGTTCAGGAATCTGAAATCCCACTAACGATTGGAATCTGGAATCCAATGACCAAGAATCCGGGCCTCCAGTTCTGGAATCCTGAATCCACGGTGTATAATCGAGAATCCATCTAAGACTGGTTTGGATTCCCTTACATGGTTCGTTTTGCTTTCCCAATTCAGATCGATTGATTGAAAAAGTCTATTTTAAAAATAGTACAGGACATAGGGTACTTTTGCAAACTGTATGCAGCAATAGAGAGCTTTAGATTTGAGGACGAAAACGAGTGCGAGTATGAGATTTAACTTAAAGTTTTTTATGCGTGTTCTCTAAACAATACACCCGGGAAAGCTTTATATTTTCCTTCTCCTTTTTTCACCGAAAAAGTAAGTACGGTTACCGTATTTATTCGATTAACCGCCCTGGGCGCTTATTAAATTTTTTTAACCTTAATAGTGGGCGCTTATTCCAGGTGTGCGCTTATTCGAGGCAGGTCGCTTATTCAATTTTCCTCCTGTTTTCATCATTTTCAGCAAGTTTAGTATGTTTATTTTGCGAAAAAACAATAAATGGTAAGAACAAAACGCGAAGATGTAACAAAGACAGCCGTTTCTGTAAATTACTCTGAAGAAAACTCCGTCTGCGAGGAAGTCTCCTATTAGTACTTATTCAATTTCAATGAGTGATAGGGGGACGGGGATGGGCGCTTATTAACTTTTTCTGCCTTTAGGATGGGCGCTTATTCGAATAAATACGGTATTTATACTAAAACGTCTTACATTTCATAAGTTATTCCCATCACTGCGATATTCTCGCTAAAACTCGTGGTAGAATGACGACGACTATCACTATTCCCGCCAAAATGACGCTGCTTCACGCGTGAGCAGTACTCAGTATTGAGAAAATCTCGTACTCATAGTCGTCCTCGTCTCAGTATCTAAAGCTCTCTAACTGACAGAAGACGTCAACATTTATACTCTGCCATCCAACCTCTTGCGTCCTTCAGTTTAATGGGATTTCACTGTAAGGTTTTCTCCATCAGAATTTTTTTTTTGTGTTGGCGATGTGGCTATGCTCTGAGAGATCTATCTTGAGAGATCTCTAAAGAAACATGAGCCCAAACGTTGGCTTATAGCCAAGAAAATTGGAAACTGTTTGAACCCTTGTTTAAATGTACCGGCGAGAGAAGCTCGTAATGACGTAAGCTTTTCCATGGAAAAGAGTGTGAATTTGCCATGCTATTGACCTTCTGCCCATAAATCACCGTTTCTGAGCTCTACGCGCAAGCGGAGCCCCATAGCTACAAAAATACGTTTACCTTGTATGCGTCCGAGAAACTTTGGTTGAAATTTCTCACTTTCTAACCAGTGGGAAGCCTTAAAAATGATATTGCACATGCAGGGATCAATTGACAGCTGTCAAAACAGGGTAGCCGCTAACCAGTATCACATGACCGTATCGCAGGCTCAGGAGTAGACCCATCGAGGTTGCGTGTTTTTTGAAGTTATTCCCTGACAAGTTACTACACAGTTTTCAAGTGTTTTAAATTAATAAATGCGAGCAACCTTAAAGTCATGCCCTAGGGGTAACGTCGTCAAAAAGGGAAGCTTTCCAACTGAGGCACGAAGCGCCGAGATTAAGAACTGCTTACGGTGGATGATGTTAACTTCTGCCATTCGATCTTGGTGTCTTCCGAGCCGTCAGTCATTTGGCCAGTACATGATCGATTTGACAATAAATCATCGTCAAAGGGCAAACTTATTTAAACCCTGCTGTAATGTCTGAAATAAAAGTGATAAAGAAACCCAAACTCGAAGTGTGCGTTGGTACTTAGTTTTCGTTACCTGATTAAAGGTCTTTATGAAACTAAATATAAAGTTTTATATAGTGGAAAACAGTTTTTCAAACTACCAACTGAAAACCCACAGCCATAAAAGAAATAAAAAACAATAACAATAACATGACTTAAGTCACGTTAGTAGTGCCAGGATTTAGTGGAACAGGTTGGAGTCTGGTTCTCGTATACATTCATACGGCACTAGGTCGTCTACATCTCGAAACTTTATATAAAAAATCGAATCTTGAAATCCAAAAAAACTCTTTCTCGAGACTTGGTGCCAAATTATGGAATGAGAGACCAACCAAGTTGCGCACACTTTCAAAACACAAATTCAAATTTAATATTCGTGCATCATTGCTTGATATACTGAAGACTGGCGATATTTATCATGAAATAGATGAAATTATTCTTAAAATGAAGAAAGGGGAACCATGCAATTTTTTTGTAATCCTGCCTTTAAAAAAAGCGAGCTAATGTTTTGTTTTCTTTTCCTCCTTAGAGTTTTAAATGCATCTTTTTCATATGTTTTTCTTCGTAAGATTATAACTTTTGCAATTAGTTAACCGTCCCATATATATATTTATTTGAAAACTGATTAATCTCTCCGGCTTTCTACTTTTTTTTACGTTAATTTAATTGCAGTTATTTTCTTTTCTAATCATTCTTGGCCCGCCTAAACTAGCTACCGCTATTTACGGTGCCAGGACACTTGGAAAAATATTCTTTAGAAAATTTATAATAAAGTCTTGAAGTCTTGGTTCTGTTTGGACTAGTATCGCGTGACTTGATGGGCCAGGAGGAGAAAAGTCAAAGTACTGAAGGAGTGTACAGGAAATTTTAAAGCAGAAATTTAATCTTACTGTCATGTTTGTATAGGTAATAGCATGATTTGTAGTGATATTTCGCATAAATACCACGAGTGAAATTTCAAAATTGTTATACGTAATTTCACGTGCCGGTAGACGAGTGAGATTTGAGACAATTTTGAAATATCACGAGTGGTATTTATGCCAAATATCACGTACAAATCATGCTATTATTTGTTTATACTACTACCCACAAAAATGTAATTTCCACATCTAGGTATTTCAAATTAAGCTGAAATACCACTGCTCTAAGCCAATCAAATTGCAGAAATTTCTCATGTAGTAGTATGATGTTGAATATTTGTTTAAGGAGAATTTCTTTCTCATCAATGTAGCAAGGCGTTAAATTGTTTCCTTATAACTTCCGTCTGCTCGCGGCGCCGGCAAGTGGGGACGTTGCATATCACGCGAAAAACCAAGATGTCAGATGACAAAATGTATCCAGTTACAGAAAAGTTTGTATCATGCATTTGCGATGGGGACAAACTTCGAATTGCTTGGTTTGAAAGGAAAAGTTCTTCCATGAGAAGACAAAGACTAGGGATTTCACAGTGTGATTTTCTCGATGTCGATCATATTTTGAATATTGAGGAACTTAGCTCGTGTCTGACTGACATCAAATGAAGACAACAGTTTTGCTGCATGCGATCGGTCCAAGGTATGTCGGTCAATAAACTTAACTGTTAAACCCTTTTTGAGGTGTAAATCCTATTTGATAACAAAATAAACTTAGGGCCATTTTTCGATAGTTTAACCCGTTGGGTAGGTTTTCTAGTTCTAGTTTTCCCGACGTCGATGAATGTCATTGGTTGATTCATGTTGTCAAAGGAGTAAGCGCTAACTCGCCTGTGAGTTAAAATGTTAAAATTATTACTTCGTGACGTACTCGCGTTCGTGCGAACGCATCCTAATCTGGTGTTCCTGTGGCACTAAGGCAGAAATTTTAGAGCTATCACGGACGACTGCAAATTAGCTGCCCCTATTAATTTTATCCGGGGGTCACCTCGGCCTGAAAAATGGACTCCTTTCGACTCGATTTCGTTTCCGTAATCTTTCCGTATCAGTCACGAACACAGACCCGTAATCAATGATTACATCTAGTTCAGTACAATCTCTATTTACTGCCGCTTTTATTGTCCGCCAAATTGTTTCAGTTCCAGTTCCGGTTCACTGATCTCTGCCAGAGTTCGAAGCCAAACTAGCTCTTTCTAGCACTAAACAAAATTATTTTTTTTTACGCCAGTCTCCTTAATTTCTTCTCCTTTTTCATTGTTTCCCTCTATCACTACCACCAAAACATGTCTGCTCTTTTCCATCACCACCTCATTTCTACTGTTTTCCCTCCACCACCACCACCACCACCACCACATTTCTATTGTTTTCCCTCCACCACCACCACCACCACATTTCTATTGTTTTTCTCCACCACCGCCACCACATTTCTATTGTTTTCCTTCCACCACCACCACCACCACATTTCTATTGTTTTTCTCCACCACCGCCACCACATTTCTATTGTTTTCCCTCCACCACAACCACCACCACATTTCTATTGTTTTCCCTCCATCATCCCAACCACCACATTTCTGATTTTCATCCCTCATCAACACCACCACAGTTTCTATTGTGTTCCCTTCTCCACCAGCGCCACCACCACATTCTTATTGTTTTCCCCCTATCACCACCACCACCATCAAATTATTAGTGTTTCTTTCCTCCTTTACCACTACCACCCCCGGGGAGTACTCAGCAAATGTTAATACGGGGAAGTTCGGCCCAGAGGTCCAACGTTTTGTTCTTTTATATACCATTTTTCACGAAAATGGTACCCCTTTCGTACACCTTCTATTGACAAATGGTACCCCTTTCACATACCTAGTTTAGAACTTTGCATCCCTTGTAACTGCTGTAAATGCGCTGTCTTAGGGGTTTGATTCCCTTTGGCTGCTACTAATAATACTAATCTCGTAATCTTAGGGAGTGATGGTAATGAAAATGAATGTTTCTTGTTTTTTGCTTCCTGTGTAGTTTCTAACCGATTTACGGCAAAGATTTAACACCATCCGTTTATTTCCAGAGAACAATCAGTCGCCGTGATGTTGTGGGAAGCAGTTCTTTTTCTTGTCCCCTTGTCCTTCATTCTCTATTTTTTTCTGGCGTGTCGCTGGTCACGGACGTCAAAGTTAGTTCCCCCAGGGCCACGACAATTACCTCTCCTTGGCAACTTATTGGACATACTCACTTTCAATCACATGACCATGAGAGATCTGGCAAAGAAGTACGGTGATATATACTTGATGAACATCATGGGTCACAAGGTTTTTGTCGTCACCAATATTGATTTGGCACGGGAGGCTTTGGTTCGGAAAGGTCATATTTTTGCTGGACGATCATTTTCTTACGTTATTCACGCATTGTTCAAAGAGAAGGAAGCCATTTTATTCGGGGACTATGGGGCACGCTGGAGGCTGCTGCGCAAGGTCGTACATTCAGCTCTGCGAATGTTTGGAAATGGCATCGAAAACTTGGAACAAAAAGTTCATCATGAAGTTGATGAATTATGTCATCAACTCAGCAAATCAGGTGGTGTTCCCACCGATCCAGCGAGGCCCATTACTTTGGCAGTCATGAATATTATTTGGTCGTGTCTTTTCGAGGCTCGCTTTCCCGAAGGAAGCCCGTATGTGGATGAAATTCTTGAAATGATGGACGAGGCCGCTTATCTAGCGGGCAGTACTGCCCATCTAGATTTATTCCCTTTCATGAAGTTTCTAGCTCTGGATATTCATAAACGAATAAAACATTCGATTGACCTTAGAGAAAAACTGATTTCATCAAAATTCCGAGAAAGG